ATGTCCCATCACCGTATTCACACTGGGGAGAAGCCGTACAGCTGTGATCAGTGTGGGTCAGGTTTTAGCCAGCTGGGGGGTCTAAAGTACCATCAACGTATTCACACTGGAGAGAAGCCGTACAGCTGTGACCAATGTGGGTCAGCTTTTAGAGAATTGAGGATTTTAAAAGCCCATCAACGTATTCACACTGGAGAGAAGCCATACAGCTGTGATCAGTGTGGCTTAGGTTTTAGCCGGCTGGGGAGTCTAAAGTACCATCAACATATTCACACTGGAGAGAGGCCGTTTTGGTGTGAACAGTGTGAGAAAACGTTCATTACAGCAAGTAGACTAAAAGTCCATCAACGTATTCACACTGGAGAGAAGCCGCACAGCTGTGATCAGTGTGGCTCAGGTTTTACACAGTTGGGGCATCTAAACACCCATCAACGTATTCATACTGGAGAGAAGCCGTAAGCTGTGACCAATGTGGGTCAGCTTTTAGAGAATTGAGGAGTCTAAAACTTCTTAGACTGTTAGGTCTAGGTCAAAGTGTTTAAGTGAAATGCACAGTTAGGAAACATTTTTCCCTGTACAATGAAATTCTTATTTTGCTGTCCACATGAATGCCACACAATACAAGTGAAATATAAAGTAAATGAGCAATAACACAAATCTAAATAGGCAGTGTTGGACCTGAAAAGTCCTGCATATTCTTTTATGAAGAATGATTTAGGTCAGTGATGCCTTTAACAGTTTTATTACAATATTCAAGAAAAGCAATACAGAGCTCTGGGTTCCGTCTATCTGAGGTGCTACCGGTCAACACAGGTGTGGTTCGGTCTTCCTTCATATAAGAGGGAACCCCTATTCTCCTGACCCCAGTCTTTTTATACAATCTTAGAATGTGCAATATAGGTTGATCTGGTGCCTCTCGTCCATCCATTCCCAAGGTCCCTTCTGCTCCAATGAATGAAGGCAGTTTCCTAGAGAGTGTGAAATATTGAAGCATTTAGGTTGCTATATAACTAAAGCACTAATATAGTTTGGAAATTGTTACTTTAATAAGAGACTGCATTATGAGATAAAAGTATAACCTTCACATGGTTGAAGTGTGTGTATGAATTCACTTCATTATTAAATGCACTTCTGGGGAGTTGTGCCTAGCACTGCTCTGCTTAGAGGGAGTAATCAAAGGGAAAGTAAATTAAATGCACTTAAAAGGATAAGTTTTAATAATATAATCTTCACAATCTCACAGTATGCTTATTAAATCGTTGTGTGTGTGCCTGATTTATCACAAGAATGTAACTTTGGTTTCAGGGAGGTACAGCTGTGTATTATGAGAAAGAATTTTGGCTGGCTAACATCAATTGGAGCTGTATGATCAGCATGAGTAGGAATGTGTAAGGAGGACGGAAGAATAGTATATATTACACAGTTGTGGTAGTTTCACTTCAGATCATTTTGCTCTGCTGCTGGCTATGATCTCCAGATGCATCTGCAAATAAAGGTAATATGTGCACATTGATATTTGTGGTGTTGTGACTGAAATTCTTTCCACTATCTGGACTCGAGAAGAAGTCTGGGACTTCACAAGAGGGAGGAAGACTGGTAGACCATTTGGTAGCTGAAGCATTGAACCATATACTGTAGTACAGGGGTATCAAACTCAATCACACAGGGGGCCAAAACTCAAAGCACACTTTAGGTTGCGGGTCGAACAGTATAAAAATTTATTGAACAGACTAAAACTAAGCGATTTTCTAACATAAATATGAATTGAAACAGACAGGATACAATATTCCAAAATAAATAAACTTGAACTTAAAATCAGCAACCGTATTTCTGCTAAGGCTTACATTTACAAACACCTGCTTTTTGTCTGGACACAAGACGTCGCACACTTTCATCATGTAGCTCTTCAGAAACTCTCCTTCAGTAAATGGCTGGGCTCATTTGGCTGTCTCCTCTGCTGCAATAAAACTTGCTTTCACAGCAGCTTCACTGTGTGATTTCACTTTGGTGAAAACATCTGCTGTGATCTCAGATTCCTCTTCAACACCTCTACCTTCTGTAGCTTCTGCTCTGCATTCACGCTTTTCACCTTATCCTGATGTTTTGTCTGGTAGTGCCGTCTTAGGTTATATTCCTTAATTACAGCCACATTAGCTCCACAAATAAGACACACAGGTTTACCGACAATGTCAGTGAACATATACTCAGCCTCCCACCAGTTTTGAAAGGCTCTGTTTTCAGAATCAACTTTTCTCTAGGCCATTGTTCGGGACTAGGTTTGACTTGAAATTAGGGTTGTATACATCAACAGACACTTGACTGATCTGACGTTTGGTAAGGCAGCTGTTGCGCTGCATTGTGGGATTTGTAGTTTGTGTGGTATCGGCGCTTCATATCGCCGGGCCATTAAAAAAAATGTAAGAAATGATCTCGCGGGCCAGATGTAATTGTACACCTGGCCAGATGTGGCCCGCGGGCTTTGAGTTTGACACATGATCTAGAGTAACTATATGGCTGACTAGTATATTCCTACAACTTTACTTACTAGTTGCTCTTCAGTACCTGTTTAATAAAAAGATGTTCAACATCACATTAGAAATGTAAGTCATATCGGCTACGATTTTATTCACAAATAGCAAAAATTGTTCTTTTAAAATTTTCTTTTAAAACTATCGTAAAGAAAAAGGCAAAACTCAACCCCTAAGCCACTGTAGCACCCAGACAACGGACAGTGCGCAGGAATAAATTTGTGCAAGTATGAATGTTTTGATAACAAGCTTTGAAAGTGAAGTGTGGAGGAGCGTGTGAACACTTCGTAGCCTGTCACCAACAAACTGACGTTAGCGGAGCAGCGAACGTAGGAACAGACGAGCAGTTCATCAACACACACTGCAGCACTTCGGTCAAACTGGTGAGACAAAGAAAGGAGGTGGTTTCTACAGACTTGTGTCTGTTTTGGATCACGTTGGCTTTCTCTGCTAGTAACAGACGCTGTTCTCAGATCGTTTACTTGAGTAAATTAGGAGTACCACAGTGTAAAATACTCTTTAAGTAAAAGTCCAGTATTCAATAAAACCTCAAATGTATTTGCATCCTAAAGTACCAAAAGTAAA